GTTATATTGATATCCTGTTATGGGAAAAGGCAACAAGTGCTTTTACCAAAATATTTTCTGTAACTCGGTTCCTTCCTGTAAATTGTAATCTATACGTTTAACGTTGGATCACAGATCTAGGCGTAGCTAAGTGGGGCAAGAGAAGTAATCCTCACTTTGCACCCAAGCTCAAATCTGTATTAAGTTAGAATATCGTTCGAATAAAAATAAAAAACTTTGAGCCTTCTCTTTGTAGTTGAGAAAGGAATACCCTGCATCCCCGTCTAGGATTTTAAAACCCCATAACCATTTATATGGGATTATGTAATCATATTCATTGTTATCCTTTATGATCAAAAGGTAAGGTTGCTCTTTTGTGACCAAAAGGTTAAGATTTCAAGTCATGAAAATAATCCATTTGTAAAGTAAGGGTAACATTGCATACGATAGACGTTCCTTTCCCGATCTTAATAAAGCGAAAAACCTTATTAGCTTGAGGTCCGTCTTTTTATTTATATTCATTGTCAACCAAAGGCAAACACATAGTTCAACCCCAGCATTCACTTTAGCGTTCAGATTTGATACACTTTCAGATTCAAAAAAACGTATTCTAGTAACTTTGATTTGATACATTAAAATGTCGAATTTTCATTCAGCACATGAAGGCTTGAATTATGCAAGGAACTGGAACTTAATTAATTAAAAACATTCACATTTACACCTAAAATAAGTTCGAATTTCCGATTGGAAGTCCGGACAAACAAAGGAACCTAAAAACTATTTTTGTTGGGTGAAACTAGAAGCAACTTCGTTCATAACGGGGGGGGGGCAAAGTACAATATTTGGAAGGAACATAAAAGTTAATGAAAAATCACATTTTTACACTAAAAAGTTAATCTTTGTCTATTCACTTTACTTTTTATTTTGTCCTTATCGTTAAAACTCAAAGTTTACAAATATTTTCATTAGTTTTCCTTATTTGGAAATGATTACAACACCGCCATAGAGGAAAATAATTTTATTTGGAAATGATTTCCAAATATTAAATTTTGGAAATGATTCCAGCACCATCTGAAATCAAGGAAAAGGATGGATTCTTTTCATAGGGATCCTAGGAATCCCGCAATCGTGTTCATTCATCGTACATCGTACGGTTAATTTTCGTTAGGTATTATTTGTATTTGAATTTTAAATTTTAAATTTTAAATAATTTCTGACCACACAATATACGATAAATAGACACGATTGAATGATCGCTAGGAAAAAGATCGAGCGAAGATCCTTGTACGACAAACCATGAAATCCGAAAGCAAATTTGAGCGTTGAGGCTAATAAAGATTTTTAAACCAATAATTAAACTACACCTAATTACAGATATTTGTCGTTTTCAAAATCGATGTTTACCCACTTTCCATGTTCACATGCACAACTAGGGATGAATATTTTTGTCAAATTACCTGCCAATCGAATTGCTAACCATTCATACCGATTTTTTGTCAAATTTTTTGTACCAATCGGTAATGATACATTATTATACTCTAACAAAATTTCATAGTACGGTATTGGTATTGGATACTATTACCACAGTATTATCGTACCTTACCAAAAATATAATATATAATTACATAACACATATTTATAATATATATATATATATATATTTATAATATTCCAATAATTTGAAAATAAAACCCTACTTATATTAGCATTGTTGTTGGTGACTTTGATCTCTTGAGTTGATGGAAATCAAACGCAAAAGAATTTCCAATTTTTTCATAAATGGCCAAGGATATCTTTGCAATCCCCACTTCTACTATTGCTAGTGAAAATGCATTTAGCCTAGAGAGAAGGGTTGTGGTCCCTTTTAGGGCATCCCTGACTCCTAAAATGGTAGAAGTACTAATGTGTACTAATGATTGACTTAAGCAAATGAAGTAAACTTCTATAAGGAACCAACGGAAGATGTGCTTCAATTTTACAAAGAAATGAAAGAAGTGGAAACAAGTAATGCTTTAATTTTTTTAGTAAATGTGTTATTAAATGGTTTTCAACTTTAATTCTTTTCGCCACTAATATGTTTTCTTTGTTTGTAACGTAGGCTTGACACAAGCTCAATCTTCTACAAGTTCAATGCCTCCTCCAAAAGCTTCGGCATCTCAAACTTGAAGCAATGATCAATGATTTTACTTTTTGAAGTTTAGTTTAAATTTTCATTTGGTTTGAAACTTTAACTTCCATTTAGATTGTTAACTTCTATTTGTTTTGCTTCGTAACTTCTATATGGATTGTAAGCTTAATTTTCATCATAAATCTTGATGCATCATTTGAATTATTATGTATGTGAATTGTGAATGATGAATAATAGATGAATTTAAGCTACAATAGAAAAAATAGTTTTGCCCTTGTATTGGGTTAAAAAAAAACAAAAACAAATTGTCCAAAAACAAAAACAGATTTTGTCCAAAAACAAAGAGACAATTACCATTATCATACCATGTGAACCAAATTATTTGACAATACCAAACTTCGGTATACCAAAAGTTTGGTACGATAATAGTTATAGATTTTACCAAACCGAAAATTTAATATGATAATTGGTACGAGAGTTTTGGTACGGTAACCGTACCAAACCCACCCCTATGCACAACAACCAGCAAAACAATGAATCGGGTAATGAGTTCCACGCTCCTCTTTTCCCCTTCTGCCCTTCTGCACTCCCCTCCCCTCATTGTTTCCGTCCTTTGTTTTGTTCAAAGAAAGAGTATAAGTAGGGTTGAAGGACAAAAACAATGAGGAGGAGAGTGCACGTGGAAAAAAGGGAGATCAGAAATAGCTATACAAATCAATAAAAAGAAGGATAATATTAGATAGACTAAATTTGGAAACAATTTGCAAACTAAATAATGTATCACCAATAGAAATAAGCACGTTTATCAACGTTTAGGTAATAAACCAATCATCACCTTTCATGTCTTTTAATTTGCAAACTCAGACAAAAAGGATACCTCACAAGTAGACCTGTAAACGAGTCGGGTTTATTGGGTTTGGGTCGGGTTCAACCCAACCCGTTAAGTTAACGGGTCACCCGAACCCGACCCGTTAAGCTAACGGGTCACCCGTTTCACCCGTTAACAATTATTATTATTTTGCATAAAATTTATTTTTTGTTATTAAGATTTTACTAAAATTGCTAAAATATCCTCAACTAATGGGTGCTAACGGGTTGACCCAAAGTGACCCGTTATTTAACGGGTTGTTAACGGGTTTACCCGTTAGCGACCCGACCCGACCCGTTAAACATCCACCCAAATACAAATATTAACGGGTTGGGTCGGGTCGGGTTAATGGGTTGGGTCCAAAATGCCAAGCCTACTCACAACTACCCATCAATATGGCAATAACAGAGAAATTAATTAGCAATTTGATAAATTGAACAGACGGAGAATGTAACAAACATTTTGTGATTCCCTCCAAAATTAAGTTAAACAGGTCCTTCCGTCCACAATACCTAATACAAAACATGAATTTCCACATGAGGTGGATTTTTCTACAAAATTTAAAAATTACACAGCAAAAACCGACCAAAGTATTAACGAGTACAGTCTGTTCCTGGTATCCTACCTGTAGTTTGCAGAACTAACCCAGCAAGGCTTAAGAAAACCAACCACCACCTCCACATTGTCTACTTACCCCAAAATCGCCGACCAAGAATATCAGAAATTCTAACACCAGAGTCTCAAGAAATCCTCTGTTGAGCAAATATGAATAACTAATACATGTTAAGATTTCCATCTTACAAAAGTTAGCTTCAAGTCGGTTAAATCCATCTTAGACATGACAAACATGACAGTGTTGGACAACAATACTTAGGATTTACCCACACCTCATCTAACCTGATCCCACCCAATGGCATTAAGAAAAGATAGTCAATATGAACAAATAGAATCAGAACCATGATGGTGAGAAGATGTGTTGCCATGTACTATCATCAACAATAAACCCGAAACATAAACCCCCACCCCCCCACCAAAAAAAAGAAACAAAGATCCACTTCACTTAAGCTAGCACACAAGTCAATAAAACTATGCAGGTCCAGTAACAAGCTAGATATCTAACACCCTAACAAAACTTCATTATTGCAGCCATCTTCAACTGTGCATGAGCTCGACTCTTTTGCTTCTTAAATAACATGTTTTTACCATTCAACGCACCATCAAAAGTTTAATTTGACCACCAATAACTAATATTACAAGGATCGATTGCCTAGAAAACTAAGACCTGGAACCCACAATAATGGATTAAGTTGGTTATCAGCACATTTCAGCACAGCTAGTAACATATCAGAAGGTGCAGACTTAGCAAACCAACTTCAGAATTCTGTTCAACACTGCATCATGTTTATTCAAGGCAAACAATTACGAGATATTATCTTTGTATACGTAAATTGGATGAATGACCACCCAAAAGTTGCCACTAATGCATCCTCAAGTACTAAATTTTCCCTACGTCATAAATACTGAATTTCTGACATTCTTGTTAGATTGCAGGGTAGGTTAACACTAAGTAGGTAGTTGTTGATTATTCAAAGCCTCGCCAGGAAAATTGATAAAGGAACCAAAACCAAGCATGAAATAACGCTCCCCTATGTCGCCAAATTGTGTTCAGTGACTGGGAGAAGATAACTAATGACCATTGGGAAAACACTCGACCTGATAATCCATGCAATCAGAGATAGGTACAGTTACGGACGCCTTTGAGGGAACCAAAAAATGTTAGAATCCTATACCTGCATAAGAAACAGAAGTATAAGACAAACTGAAGCAGCTCAAGGAACACAAACATAACATACTTGTATACTAATCAAGAAGGGGAACAGAATCGAAAGTAGATTAAAACTGGTTGCATAGCTCCCAAATTTCATAAAAGTTAACTTACTACTAAGAAAACGAAGCTTCTTTTCAGACCCCTTCACCAGTGCTGCCCACTATGGCTGCCTTCTAGTTTATTAAAAAAAATAAAGATCAGCACTGCAAGATGCAGAATGAAAAAGGAAAAAAAAAAAAAAGTCTTACACAAAATGTTCCTATAAAAATCAAACCAAGAGTCTCTTACCAGCTCAACGTTACCCTTTTCATTCACTTGAGTAAGATAACCCTTTGAGGTGTTTGAAAACCTAGAAATATAACATAAACGATTCAGGAGAATTAAAACAAACAAAAAGAAACCTCAATTGAGAAAATACAGAAAATATAATCATCAGGCCTTGAGTGCTACATACCTGAGTGCCCTTGCTTTTCGTTTTTCTTCTTCCTGAGGATCAGCTTTAGTATCTGTCTTGGAAATAGGTGCAAACCGAGCAAGACGAGCCTTCTTCTTTGCATCCTCATCACCTACCACAGCTGGGGCAGGAAGCCCAAACCTGATAACAATAAAGAGATTGATGACAATCTTTAATACAAAACAAACAAATAACCCAATATTTGGTAGAATCAAATTCAAGAATTCTGAAAAAGCATTCCATGACAAACCTCTCTGCTCTAGCCTTCCTCTTTAGGTCTTCTGGTTTTTTAGATGCTTGGGATCCAAGCGATGTCGAAACAGTACCAAACCTGACATAAGATCAAACACCTTTAGAAACGCAATTCTCCACGGATAATATACGGATGTATTGTCACTACAATAAAATTAAGTCAAATCCTCATCAAATCCAAACAAACATATTATCCTTACTGATATAAGAATGTATTATCATTACAATTAAATCTCATATCATCAATTCAAGTATCATTATCCTTCAATTAAAAATTCATAATATTTTTTTAATTATTAAGAACTAATATTCTGCTCATAAGTGCCCTGTTTGTGAATGTTAGAACAATGGGTGCATTCGGTTTCCATAAATCTATTTCCTACTCTTCTTACCAGAAAGCCAAAAAAAAAAACCCTAACCCTAGAAAACCCTAATCCCAATTACCTCTCAGCACGAGAGTTGCGTTTCTCTTCTTCTGAGAGCTGCACGGATATCCCAAACCGCTCGGCACGGCGCATCTTCTTCTCAATGGCGGTAACCGGAGCAGCCGCGTCACCGGCGGCAGAGCCAGTCTTGGTATCCTCAGAGTCGGCCTTGGACCCGTTTTCTTTGGAGTTAACCTCGGACGACGGAGGTAGATCGGAGGGAGTGCCACTGGGCGGATTTTCGGGTCGATCCAAAATTTGTGGAGATGGGTGGGACCGGAGAGGTGCCTAGGGTTTTCTTAGGGGTTTCTAGGGCAGTGCTGGTGTCGTTGGGCTTCTTTGTGTTGGTGGCCATTGGAGAATTGGGAATCGTATAGCGCGTGAGAAGTGTGCCAAAGAAGGTTAGGTTGTGAGAATGCGAAGATAGTGAAAGTGCAAACGAGAAGCGTGTGAATTTTGGAGGGGATATTTTGCCAGTTATGTCCAGCGTGAAAAGTAAAGTGTTTGGTCCAATTAGACATGTGTCAAAAAGTACTTACATGACACGAGACACAAGACACGATGATATTGTACCAGGGCTCGATTAAAACTTGTATATCATGTTCGACCACATAATCTTGTTATTTTGTATTTCCAAACTGTTATTAGTATTAGGGTAAATCGTCAAAATAGTCCTTGAGATTTGCATAACTCATCATTTTGGTCCCTGAGATTCCAAATCGATAAAAGTGGTCCCTGAGATTGTTCACCATCCATCATTTTGATCATTCCGTTAAAAACTCCATTAAGTGTCCAGAGCTCTTGGCTGGAAGTTTGGGCAATTTTCAAAACTTCGTAACTCAATCGTTTCTTAACCAAATTCGACCCATAATATATCAAAATGAAAACCCATAGAAAATAGCCTCAAAGTTGACTGGTCCGAGTGAAAACTTGAAAACTCGCCGAAACTGGGTAAACTTTAAACGTTCATAATTTCTTCAATACTCAACAAAATCAAGTGATTCAAAAACAAAAATCATACTTCTCAACGAGACAAAGAGAATGGTACCTTTTTTTTTATGGCTAACTCGCCGTGGTTTGGCCGTAAAATGGCTCAAAAGTGGCTAACTCGAGACTAAGACAGCCACTTTTGAATCACTTGATTTCGTTGAGTATTGAAGAAGTTATGAACGTTTAAAGTTTACCCTGTTTCCGGCAAGTTTTCAAGTTTTCAAGTTTTCACTCGGACCAGTCAACTTTGAGACTATTTTTCGGCAATCTCCGGCAACCATTGGGCTTCAAAATAAATATAATCTTATTTTAAACTTTCCTATCTTCATTTTGATATATTATGGGTCGAATTTGGTTAAGAAACGATTGAGTTACGAAGTTTTGAAAATTGCCCGAACTTCTGGCCAAGAGCTCCGGGACACTTAACGGAAGGACCAAAACGATGGATGGTGGACAATCTCAGGGACCACTTTTATCGATTTGGAATCTCAGGGACCAAAGTGATAAGTTATGCAAATCTTAGGGATCATTTTGACGATTTACCCTTAGTATTATAATCTAATAGTATATATTTCTATGGGTATTTCATTTAGATAATTTGGCATGGTATATTTCTATGGGTTTTCATCATAAGCATGATTTTCTGTTATAGCATGTATTATATTTCTAGTGTGACAACCCGTCCCGAATTTTATTATCGATGGTGTGAAATGACGAATTTACCCTTGAACGTTTGTGGTGATGTGTGGTTTGGGTTTTGGTTGTGGACCAATTAAACTTTTCCTAAGTGTTTGGACCCAATTAGAAAAGAGTTTTTTGTTTGTTGTGATTGGATACCTAAAACTGGATCACACACACACCCAAAGTAACCCGTTGACTCTCTTTCTTTCCTCTCTCTCACATTTTATGCCATTTCCATACAAACATACGGACAACCTTCAAACCTTCACTTCCAGTCATGGATCGAAGCTGGGGAAGTGGTCTTTGTGTTCTTTGCAAGTCCAGGAGCTCGTCCTTGCCATTTGTTGGACGTGAAACCTTCGAAAATCCAAGAACCAGAAACCCCGATTTGGTGTACTGTTCATGCGATCGTGATCGTGAAGTTTTTAGGGAGTTTTAAGGTTCTAGGAAGCTTTAGGACGTCTTCACGAAGCTCGGGGAGTAATTTTGGAGTGTTTTGGACGTCGGGAGACTTGGGTTCTAGGAGTTACTGAAGTGGCCGGAGTATCGTGCTTTTTCCGACGAGTTTTTGTGATTATTGGGGCTCAAAGTTGGTAAGGTTTTGTTCCTTGCATCATGAGCTTCATTTTGAGACAAATTTCATGAGTTTTGGTTAAGAAATGAAATAGATATGAAGGTTTGAACAATTTTCCAGTTTCCAGCGATAGCAGCGGCGCCAGTGCCGGGTTCCGGGCTTCGGCAATCTAGGGAAGAAGGAGGAGAATATAATGTCAAAGTTAACGGAATATTATGATGCCGTCAAGTAAACTTAACGGCATATTCTAGTTTTTAACAAAATATTCCCTAACGGCGTTAACTATTTCGTCCCCTGTGCCAGGCACGTGCCTGCGTGTTTGGTCGTGCTTTAGCCGGCGCGTGAGTGCTCAAATTTTTTTTCTAAAAATATGGGGATGTTCGTGGTGTTGAGTAGATCACGTTGGTATATTCAAACACCTCATTTAAGCATTGTATGAGAAGTTATTTCCTAGTTTTGTGCATGTGCTTTAAATAACGTTTATATAATTGTTTCGCATATAGGTGAGACCTATCATGAGGACGAGCGCCATCAATCAAGGCTCGGGGGCTTCGACCCTTCGACATACCAGTGAGTGGGCTTTTGGTTTTCTGTATATACTTATATACTTGAGATTTTTCCCAGAAATTGAAATCGAATGATTATACATTTTGAAATGCCATGCAAAGTATCTGCCTATTTTATTTATGTATTAGTAGTTGCATATATTTATGATTAGTGTTGTGGATGCACAGGTAAGTGTCAGGTAAGTTCATAAATTAAAGATATGAGATTGCTTCAGTTATGTGAGATATGATGTGATGTACTAAGAGCTCTTAAACTTGCATCCCGGTGTTAGTGCTCTCGCCCAGAGATTGGGGCACAAACCTTCACGTGATGTTCACCTCCTGCACCATATGCTTACCTTGGATCCAAGTTAGATGCATAGTCTTGTCGTACATACCACTTTAGGTAGTTCCGACTCGTAGGTGACCCGCGATCATTCGCACAGTCTTCACGTGATCGTAGCACTAGAGCATATTTATTTTACATCTAGTCTTGTCGTACAGACCACTTTAGGTGGTTCCCACTCGTGTGCATGATTTAATATGGTTGAGATTGATTATGAGCTATAAACTCAGCCGTACAGGTCACGTTAGGTGGATCCGGCTGATATGATATCTGGCATTGATATATTTTAATTGGAATACTTATGGTATTTCATTTAGATAATTTGGCATGGTATATTTCTATGGGTTTTCATCCTAAGCATGATTTTCTGATATAAAATATATTATATTTCTGGGAAGTTATACAGGTTTTACGTCGAGGGGTTAGAACTTTTGAGAAATGAAATGATTTTCAAAAGCTTTGTTTTTGCCCACTCACACTTTTTGTTTTGCGCCCCTCCAGGTTTTAGGTAGAAGTGCTTTGGTGGCTCACAGGGATTTCGACGGTGGTTCTGACAGAACATCATTAATGTAGGATCACCTTTGGTTGTTGTATAATTAGTACTTGTCCAGTCGAACTGCACTTAGGCTATTTATGCTCTGATGATGTATTTCACACTTAATCTCGCACTTGCACCTTATCTTATCTAGTACTCTAGTTGATTTGGTTTTTGTTTATTCGCATTTCCTTAGATATTTATTGCTTCCGCACTGTGCACATGGCTACGTCACCCTCACGTGACGGCAAGCATGCCTCGATTCAGGTCGGGGTGTGTCATCTGGGAAGTTATACAAGTTTTACGGCAAGGGGTTAGAACATTTGAGAAATGAAATGATTTTGAAAAGCTTTGTTTTTGCCCACTCACACTTTCTATTTTGCGCCTCTCCAAGTTTTAGGTAGAAGTGCCTTGGTGGCTCACGGGGATTTGGACGGTGTTCTGACAGACATCACAAATGTAGGATCACTGTGAGTGTTGTACAATTAGTACTTGTCCAGTGACTGCACTTAGGCTATTTATGCTCTGATTGTGTATTTCACACTTAATCTCGCATTAGCACTTTATCTTAGCTAGTAGCTTGGTTTTTATTTACTCATATTTCTCTATATCAATTTTGCTTCTACACTGTGCACATGGTTATGTCACTTCCACGTGATGACCAGCACGCCCTGATTTAGGTCGGGGTGTGTCAGTTTGGTATCAGAGCCTAGGTTTGCAATCCTGCATATCTTGTGAATTTTCTAATTATTTTGGTGTCTTCTGTCAGAACTATGCCACCTCGTAAAGATCCACGTCATTCTGTTGAGCCTAGTTTCCCAAATATCGCTCAATTAGGGGAAGCTATTGCTAATGCTATTCAGTCTTCGCTTTGTCCTCCCCAAAGGACACCTCTTGAGACTGTTTATAATTTGAAGCTGAATCATTTTATGGGGAATGAACAACATGAAGGAGCAGAGAAATGACTCAATCATCTTGAGAAAACTTTCAGTGTAATGCAAAGTCAAGGGAATCTTTCTCCTGATAGGTGGGTCGAGACGACTACCTAGTTTTTGGGTTTGGAACTTGCATCCTGGTGGAGACATGAGGCTTATCTGATGACACCAGAGGAAGCAGCTGACTGGGAAGTGTTTAAACAATTGTTTAAGAAAAGGTTTATTCCTCCGCAGTATATTGATCATAAGAAGCAAGAATTTACTCAATTGAAACAGGGGAAAATGACAGCAAATGAGTATTACAGGAGATTCACTGACTTGTCTCGTTATGATCAGGAAGTTGATGCTAATCCAGTTAAGATGCTTCGTCGTTTCAGGTTGGGTACTAAAAAGAAGTGGCGTTCTATGGCAACCACAACTTCCTATGCTACTTACCAAAAGTTTTATGAGGTTTTCCTGCGAATTGAAGATTCATAGAATATGCCCAGCGATAGTGAGGAGGAAGAAAAGGATGGGAATCAGAGAAGAGATGATAAAGGTAAAGGTCAGTCTTCTCAAGGACCTTGCAAGACTCAAAACTAGTTCCAGTTCTTCCAGCGGAGGTTTTAGTGCCACTGGTCAAAGGAAAGGTGGTAGATTTTCAAGAGGTCCTAGATTCTAGAGGCAAGGAGATTCTGGAAGAGGAAGTGCTCATTTGTGCCGCAGATGTAATAATAGGCATTTTGGAGAGTGTAGGTGGGGCAATGGATGTTTTACTTATGGGCAGATGGGACATATAGTTATGAATTGTCCCCAGAATCAGCAGAGGCCCCAGCAGCCTTCTATGCCACCACCAGCACCGATCCAGCAAGTTCCAAGGTCTGGTAGTTATGGTCAGATGGGTCGAGGTGGTGCTTACCATTACCAGGGCAACGCCCCTCTTTACACTTCGGGATAGTGCCAGTATTCGCATGATCCTTATTACTAGAATGGGTATTCTCAGTATCCTGGAGGGTATACGCCGTATCCTCCCATTCCAGCTAGTGGATCTCAATGGTACCAAGGACGACAACCCCAACAAGTAGAGATTGCTTCCAGTAGTGCAGGATCTTTAAGGCAATATGGTTAGCCAAGTCAGGGGCAAGGTATGCAGGGGTGAGGTAATCAAACTAATAGAAGTCGTAGGGGACGACAACAAGCCCAATGACGCATTAACAATATCTCTTAGCAGGATGCTCAGAATCATCTGGACTTGATCATAAGTACGTTAAACATTCTTGGTCACTTTGCTAGAGTTTTAATTAATTGTGGTGCTACGCATTCTGGCATTTCTCATACATTTGCTCAAGTGACGCAACCTCATCCTACACCTATAGGGTATGATTTAGAGTTTGTTATGCCTCGATGGGAGAGAAGTTATGTTGATTGTGTATATCTAGGATGTCTAGTGATGGTGGATGATGTAGGTATGCCAGCTAATCTTATCTTGTTAGATATTGTTGATTTTGATGTGATATTAAGCACAGATTGGTTGCATTATAATCTTTCCCATATAGATTGCTACGGGAAAACAGTTACTTTCCATCATCCTGGATTACCTGAAGTTACTTTTATGGGTGAACGTAGTAGGTGAGGCATGGTGTTATTTCTGCTGCAAGAGTAAAAAGGTTGTTATCAAAAGGTTGCCTGGGATATTTAGCTCATGTAGTGCTGAATGATGTTGCTTCTAGTAGTATGGAGGATGTTCAAGTAGTCAAATATTTTCCTGATGTATTCCGGGATGATTTACCTGGATTGCCGCCAGACCAAGACGTGGAGTTCACTATTGATTTGCTTCCAGGTACGGATCCTGTATCTTTGACTCCATATAGAATGGCTTCTATTGAATTGAGGGAATTGAAAGTCCAGTTGCAGGAATTAGTCGATAAAGGTTTTATTTAGCCTAGTACTTCACCCTGGGGAGCTCCAATTTTGTTTGTTAGGAAGAAAGACGGTACTTTGAGGCTATGTATTGATTATAGGCAATTAAATCGGGTAACAATTAAAAACCGTTATCCGTTGCCGCGTATAGATGATTTGTTTAATCAGCTTCGAGGTGTCTGTGTGTTTTCTAAGATTGATTTGAGGTTTGGCTATTACCAGTTGAAGATCAGCAGTGAGGATGTCCCTAAGATTGCTTTTAGGACTCGTTATGGTCATTATGAGTTTCTTGTGATGCCATTCGGATTAACGAATGCACCAACAGCTTTCATGGATTTGATGAATCGAGTATTCCAACCATATATAGACATGTTTGTCATTATTTTTATTGATGACATTCTGGTATACTCTAAGTCGAAATCAGAGCATGTTCGACATCTTACCTTGGTGTTGAAAAGATTGAGGGAGCATCGATTGTACGCTAAGTTTAGCAAGTGCCAATTTTGGTTGAATCAAGTGGTATTTTTGGGACATGTTATATCTGCTCAAGGTATTCTAGTAGATCCTCATAAGGTAGCATAGGTGGAGAATTGGGAACAACCACGAACCGTCACTGAGGTACGAAATTTTCTTGGCCTAGCAGGCTATTATAGACGGTATGTTAAAGATTTTTCGATCATTGCTTTGCCATTAACAAGGTTAACTAGAAAAGAAGTTAAGTTTGAGTGGGGATGATAATTGTGAGCAAAGTTTTCAGCAGTTGAAGTATTATCTCACTCATGCACCTGTTTTGGCATTCCCAGATGATAGTGGTAATTTTGAGGTTTATAGTGATGCTTCCCTAAATGGTCTAGGTTGTGTGTTGATGCAACATGGTAGGGTGATTGCTTATGCTTCACGACAATTGAAGCCTCATGAGAAGAATTACCTTACTCATGATCTGGAGTTAGCAACTATTATCTTTGCTTTGAAGATTTGGAGACATTATCTTTATGGTGAGAAATCTAAGATCTTCACAGATCATAAGAATCTTCAGTATCTTTTTACTCAGATGGATCTTAATTTTCGACAACGAAGGTGGATTGAGTTGATTAGTGATTATGATTGCACGATTAAGTATCACCCTGGTCGTGCAATGTGGTGGCTGATGCACTTAGTAGGAAGACTCCAATTAAACTTAATGTCATTTATGCTTGCCAAGTTCCTCTTCTTGCTAATTTGAGGTCCACTAGAGTGAAGTTAGGAGTGGAAGATCGAGAGGAAGCCTTACTTGTAAATTTTCGCATATAGGTGAGACCTATCCTGAGGACGAGTGCCATCAATCGAGGCTCGGGGGCTACGACCCTTCGACATATTAGTGAGTGGGCTTTTGGTTTTCCGTATATACCTATATACTTGAGATTTTCCCAAAAAATGAAATTGAATGATTATACGTTTTGGAATGCCATGCAAAGTATCTGCCTACTTTTATTTATGCATTAGTAGTTGCATACATTTATAATTGGTGCTGCGGACCCACATGTCAGTGCCAGGTAAGTTAATAAATTAAAGATATGAGATTGCTTTAATTATGCGAGATATGATGTGATGTATTGAAAGCTCATAAACCTGCACCCCAGTGTTATTGCTCCTGCCCAGAGTTAGGGCACAGTCCTTCACGTGATGTTCACCTCCCGCACCATAGGCTCACCTTGGATCCAAGTTAGGTGCACAGGCTTATTGTATAGACCATTATAGGTGGTTCCGACTCGTAGGTGACCCGCGATCATTCGCATAGTCTTCACGTGATCGTAGCACTAGAGCATATTTATTTTACATCTAGTCTTGTCGTACAGACCACTTTAGGTGGTTCCCACTCGTGTGCATGATTTAATATGGTTGAGATTGATTATGAGCTATAAACTCAGCCGTACAGGTCATGTTAGGTGGATCCGGCTGATATGATATCTGGCATTGATATATTTTAATTGGAATACTTATGGTATTTCATTTAGATAATTTGGCATGGTATATTTCTATGGGTTTTCATCCTAAGCATGATTTTCTGATATAAAATATATTATATTTCTGGGAAGTTATACAGGTTTTACGTCGAGGGGTTAGAACTTTTGAGAAATGAAATGATTTTCAAAAGCTTTGTTTTTGCCCACTCACACTTTTTGTTTTGCGCCCCTCCAGGTTTTAGGTAGAAGTGCCTTGGTGGCTCACGGGGATTTCGATGGTGGTTCTGACAAACATCACAAATGTAGGATCACCTGTGGGTGTTGTACAATTAGTACTTGTCCAGTCAGACTGCACTTAGGCTATTTATGCTCTGATTGTGTATTTAACACTTAATCTCGCATTAGCACTTTATCTTAGCTAGTAGCTTGGTTTTTATTTACTCATATTTCTCTATATCAATTTTGCTTCCGCACTGTGCACATGGTTACGTCAGTTCCACGTGACGGCCAGTATGCCCTGATTTAGGTCGGGGAGTGTCAGCATCCAAAGTCTCCCCCGTGTAATATATTGTTTTCGTTCTACTTTGATCTCTAGCAAGTGTTCTCTTCATTTTGACCATGTATAACAAAGTATTTATTCTCATGCTTTTAAATTGTTCCAATTTTTCTGTGTGGCCAATTTATCCAAAAGGGATAAGATACCCATCACACATTACTACTGCTATTACTACACACCACACGGAGCTCCTTGTTCTCTTCTTCCCTTTTTCCTCATTTGAATTTGGCACCAAATTCTCTCCCTCATCACCGCCATGGGCACGGCTTCCGTCATCCATAACGGCGTCCACATCCATCTGAAGCTCAATTCCCGCCTGCCTAGGGTTTCGCTCCCATCACCAGCCCCAAATTGGAGTATGCCTCACTTCATTCACCATCACATCGTTCCCATCCGTACAGGTCTCTCACTCACTCTTCCGTGCTTCAATTTTATATCTGCAATTTCCATATCTGATTTACATATTTGTATTGTTGGAATTTGGATTGCAGGCCGCGGCCAATCCGCGCCGATTGCACGTTCTAGAGCAACTGATCAGGATGATGATTTATCCACTTCAGGTGACTACCAGTTTCTAACACTGTCGGATGTAAATTTGAGATTCACGAGCAAGTGAAAGTTGCCCACTTGAATTATGCATATTATTTTCGACATTAGTAAATTAGAAGAAACACCCTCACAACTATATAAGTTTCATAAAATTACACCAAGAGTTCAATTGAGAAAAAACACCCTCAGCTAGGCAAACTGTAATGTTCTAATTGGTTTTTAGTCGCTAAAACCTTTTTGTACCCTTCTACAATTGAAATTCAGGATGGTAATATTCCGAAGTATTGGACACGAAGTATTTTTCTCTAAAATGTAATGTTATCAAAGGATTCTTGTGAAAATAAAAGCCCTTTTTTAAGGGCTCAATTTAAAACACTAACTGTATGTTTCCTTGATAAGTTCATGTAACTTGAGTTTTACTAATTTAGATCCAAAGGACTGACAATTTTGAGATTTTTGCGAAATTATGTCAAATTTTGATACTTTTCTGTAGTTTATATGAACTTTCCACTTGAATCTCCAGTAGAAAAGAGGGGTGATTCTGCATCACGAGATGGCATTAGTAATGTGGAAACCTCTCACAATGACTCTCCCGATAAAATTAAGGGGCGCGAAGCTTATGCTGCTTCTGTAAGAACTGTAGCCTTGTGGGTGAGCACCTCTCAGCTTAATTTGAACTGTCTACTTCAACAATGCTAATAACTGTAGCTATTAATTTCTTTAGGTGTGTGCTGCGGTGGCATTTGGCATTGGTGTGGGCTTTAAAGACGGAGTTGGCAAGGCATCGGAGTTCTTTGCCGGGTATGCAGAAATTTGCACTGTGAAAGCTTTCTAACAGTGGATAGGAAGTTAAACTTCTTGTCTTTTGAAGCATTAGTTATTTTCCGGTGTCTTAATCAAACTAGGCAACATGTGTATATCTTGTGCTGCATTCTGAATGTTAAGATGTACCAGGTACTTACTGGAGCAAAGCTTGTCAGTAGACAATCTGTTTGTCTTTGTTCTAGTTTTTAAGTACTTCAAAGTGCCAATTATGTATCAGGTAATTTGTAAACCTTTTAGCATTCAAATTTATGCTCGATAGGTTCTCAATTTTATGTAAAGGATTGTTCTTGAAAGATTCAAGCTGTCTGGTAATTCATGGTTACGAAAAGTTTGCTCTCCGAACTATAGAATCGAGTACTTTCTTATGGTATTGCTGGAGCAGTGGTCTTCCGTTTGACATTAATACTCCTTGGAACAGCCACACTACAGGTAAGCTTATAGTTCTCGGTGCATATGCGTTTGTGAATCTATAGTTCTTGTCTTTATGTTCTCATTTTGAATTTTTTGTGATACGTTGTTTTAGAGGTTTGAGGTGGTAAATCTTTTCCTGGCCGCAATACTCCTTTACTCATCTTTCAAGGTGAATCTTCTATTCTAAAAATGTTGTGATAACTATCTTTTTTCTTATACATTTTCGTGGACTGACATTACTCCTTCAAACAAACTTTTAATTCTGCACTTATCGACTTCCTGCCATCAAATGACTCAAATTTTTTGTTTACTGTTCTAGCTATTTTCCAGCGAAGAAGATGACACTGATCTATCCAACAATTTTATTGTGAAGACATGCCAGAGATTTATCCCTGTCACGTGTAATGTTTTTACTGTGTACTTATTTTCTTCTTACTTTTTGGTTGAAGTGCTGTTTGTTGATTCTTGGTAATTCAAGCTTGGACCAAAACTGGAAATTCTGAATTTATTGGGGCTGATCTGATCCTTGTCTTATTTAGCTCATCTTTTTATCTCACTTTTATTAGATAAACTTGAGCATGACCTTTGAATATAGCAAGGCCTAGGAGACCACCTTTAGGGCGGAATGTTTTAGTTTGGGGAGACTTTGCTTACTTGAATTTTACACTATATCAGAATAAGAAAAAAAAAAATGGATTGTATAGATTGCTTCGTCCTGCAAATTTTCATCCTTTATATTATATTGCCACCTGTAGATCATCGGCTATCTTGCAAACACTCACTTTGTACTAGCTTCTTTTTGGTATATGATCTTAATCCATACCTTTTTTCTGGTGGATTTTTGCAGCTAATTATGATGGCAATCGATTTTTTACATTTCAAGATGGTGTCCGGAAGGTAAGTTTTTGATGGGATCTTCTTAGGTTACAACATTTTATTGCACAGTTGTGGAGGTATAAAAGTCTTAAACTGCACAGATGTAATTTACAACTTTCTCTGGATCAAGATGCCACAGTTTGTGAATCCAAATTGAAAATCAATATTTTTGTTAAATTAATGGCTAGTTGATCTCTAACAGGTGTCAAACGTTTTGGGCAGGCCACACCTTTACTTCTCACGGTAGCAGTTATTGAGCTCAGTGACATAGCATTCGCTGTAGGTTTCCTCAACTACTAATAATGTCAGACATATATATACAATACATTTATGTAAAATATATCTTTGCTTTTCCACTTATTGTTGTAATGGATATTGATATGATGCTTCATTTTCTTTAGGTCGACTCTATACCAGCAGTTTTTGGCGTTACTCGGGATCCATTCATAGTTTTCAGTTCTAATCTTTTTGCCATCGTAGGTAATTCTTGTTAGATTTAGGTTTCAATTGACCATATTTGTGTGAATAAGTTGCTATACAGTTACAATGTTATTTCTGGATCTGTGCGTATTTCTGCAGTAGTTGATAATTGACCTTTTCCCATTGAGTTCAGGTTTAAGGTCGCTTTACACACTCATTTCTGCGGGTATGTCAGACTTGGAGTATTTGCAGGTACAAAGTTGACATTTTCTACCTGAATTTCTAGCTCTTTCTGCGTAATGAACTATTGATCACCTACCCATAGATAACCATCAGCACAGGGCCGGTTTCTATATATGCACGTATTTTGAAATGAGGGATTCACTTGATCAAACTTTTAATCCTGATTCTTTGTTTCCTATTGATAACTAAAATCCAATAAGGTTCTTTTTTCAGCCATCAATTGCTGTTGTTCTGGGCTTTATCGGGTGTAAGATGATCCTGGATTTTTTTGGTGGGTATTTCAAGTACTATTGTAGTTATACAAAATCTTCAATCCATCCAGCATTCACCTTTTCTAAACAATTCCACAGGGTTTCACGTATCAACCGAGGTGTCTCTTGGCTTTGTAGCTACAAGTCTTAGTGCCGGGGTGCTGTTAAGTCTAATGAAGAAGTCAGACTAGCTTTAAGAAACCATTCAAGCTCAGGGCAGGTGAAAATCTAAATTTTTTTTTGCTTTTGTTTTTCGTTTTTATTATTCCCTAGGCATTTAATCTTGCCTTTTCCATATCACGAATAATAGTAGCAATTGCTCTTAAAAGTTTTGCAATGACATTGACAACCATTAAAATTCAGCGAAAAGAAATTTTTTGGATAAATTCTTTTGGCACAAAATGTGGACCGATAAACAATCAGAAAATTTTGAGTAGAAAGTTAACAGCGGATCTAACCAGAAAATGGTAGATAATACATAAGGATAAGAAAATTGTTTGCCTTTCTTCTTTTCTTTGGTTTGAAAATGCTTGTGATTCATGAGCTCATGCATGACATGTGAATACTTTTGTTACAGTAACAGTGAGGAAAGCAAAGATTTGAAAGAAGAAAATGTTTCTTTCATGCCGTGGTCATGTCTCGCAGAGTGTTTGAGCATGAGTTATGTGAAGATTTAAGTTTCTCTTAGTCCAAATATGATGGACCGGCAAAGGCGATTTCATCGACGATGAGATGGATGTACGGGTAAATCATGTAAGACTTAGCTTTCTTTTGGTTGTAAGAAGAAGCAGATGGATGGATGGATGGATGGATAGAAAATCTGTGAAATGTTTACATATAGCAAGTTACTAATATTCTTTTTAGCCAAATCATTTATTTATTTTTATTTTGGCTAAATGGTTTACTCTTGTTTCATTTGTCCAATCCAATTCAATTTTAGGCGCCAAACAAGACCAATACGATGTTTGTTTAGTTGAGGAATAGACCAACTAGACAGATTCAATTTTATTTCTACGTGACCTTCAAACACTTTGTGTTATAGCCTAACTTATAACACGGTGTTTCGCTATTGATAATGTAGCTTAAAGTATAAATATGTCATCCACTTGTACTATAATATACATGGATTAGTAACCAAATGTAGTGATAGGATGGTCACATTTAAGTGTTCTCTTCACTTTGTTCGAAATTTAAATTCTAAAGGGAGCTGCCTGACTTAGTAGTAGTCTTATTGGACATCCTTCACAAAAGCACAAGATTTTATTATATTTTTAATTCTATACAATTTTATTTAATGTGAGAGGTGTTGTAATTAGACAGTCCTATGCTTCACCCTAGCTTTAGACTCTTCCAAACTTGTTAGTGGCCATACATTGCCGACTCACTAGTGACCAACAGAATGATTAGTTCACAATATTAAAACTCGGATATAGTCGTCATCCTTAATTCTCCTCTCTAACCGTCCGACCAACACAAAAACCCAGATCATGCGAGATACTCAAAATCCAACGACTAAGCAATCAAGTCCACGACACTTATCATGCACCACCAAAGTCGCGCACGCAACCACTTTCCTTGACCAAAAAAAAAAAACTTTAATAAAAAGGACTTGAGTTAAGATTATTTTAATAAAAAAACCAGTCTATAGTTTTATCTAACCAAAAACACCTCAAAATTAACCATAAGGACATGCCTGCAAATTCTACACGAGCTGAATTACAAAACTCAAAATGTTCAAAACTAAGGTTCCAAAATTACCCCTAACATAAAAAATATGCAGCCCATTAAAAACTTCAATATAATTACAACCCTACTCCCCACGTTGGCTCGATCTCATCGACTGAGATTATATAACTTTTGGCGGTGAATCAACGATACGGATTTCAATTAATTTTGATCAATGATTGCTGCCCCACTCTTTCCCTATCCATAAATTGGTTTAGTATATACATAATATATATATATATATATATATATATATATAATACTGTTGTCGGCTGCCTGGTGCAGACATGTTGTACATAAGTTGTTTAAGCCAAAAAACAGAGGCAGTGATTTTTATTTATTAAATGATTAGTTGGTAGTTTTGTCACGACAATCTAACATTTCGGGATAGAGAAAATTAATAGAGGCATTACAGTCTTCCATGCTCATGGTCGTCTTTGACATTTTAGGGGTCCTATGCGAATTTAATAAAAAGACCCTCATTTAAAAAAAAAAATTAATTGGACAATTATTCATAAAGCTCAACAATCAATAATAAAAAATAATTGAAATTCGTATCAAGGCAAAAAGCCTTAAATTATGCATATCGTGTATGGCGTGACGCATGTCGACTGATGGGTGATTTATTATTTACAACTAGCCCCTCATTTTTGTTTTTTTGACCCTAAAATATCAGTTATGATTTTGACCACCGCAATTTGCAATTGGGAACTGAGGAGGCATCTATATATAAGTTACAAGTAAAGTTACGGTCTTTATAGCATCATCCTCGTACTCGTACAGTTAATTTTGAATTTATTACATATTGTTGTTTCTTTTGGACCTTGCTTCATAAGATTCAAAGACATACAGGGACTAAGCTGGGATTTTATATCAAATTATATTTTTTTTGCGATTATTTCATAAATAGTGTCTAATTTTCTAGTAGTTCTAGAAATATAATGTGTTATTTTAGTTCAATTTAAAAAATAGTGTGAGTTATTTTGTTATATTTCTAGAAATATATGTATTTTGTTCCATTCCAAAGATAGTGTGGTTATTTTGGTTCAGTTTTAGAAACAATGTTAGTTATTTTGCTCTAGTTCTAGAAATAGTGTGAGTTATTTTGCTTCAGTTTTAGAAATAGTGTTAGTCAATGAGTGCTTTTACAAGACCAAACAAGGTCTAAGTTTCAAACTTTATGAAACTGAATCAAGAATTAGACACTATTTATAAAATGTGGCAAATAAATAGACACAGTTTATGAAATTGGACGAATAAGTAAATACTATATATGAAACGAAACCAAGAATTAAGCATTATTTCTGAAACTAAACCAACAGGTGGAAACTACTTATGAAACTGGACTATACACTCTTTATGAAACTAGACCAAGAACTATACACTATTTATGAAAAATGACCAAAAACTAGGCACTATTTATGAAAGTAGGTCAATAACTAGGCACTATTTATGAAACATGACCAAGAACTAGACATTATACATGAAACTGGATCAAGAACTAGACACTATTTATAAAACTTGAGCAACAAATAGTATAATACCATTCAGTTTCATAAATAGTGTTCAGTTTCATCAATAGAGTTTAGTTTCATAAACAGTGTCTGTCATGGACGTACGTGTCTCGTGCGTCAAGTCTTTTATATATATATATATATATTAAAATTGTGTCCGTTTCATTAACACTACTAACATTCTCAATGAAAACTATGAATCCCACTCTTACCCTACACATTGCACTCTCCGACATCGTATAATTTTACTTCTACATTTTTACATTTTAACCAATTAAGTTACAAATCTTTATATTTTAGCCATATTTTGGAAAATGATTGTTATAGATAATATGTGGATGAACCACTTAAATAATTCGTTATTATATATCCAAAGAAAAATAAGATGAATTATATTCATATGAAGAAAAATGGATGGGTTACTATTCTTGCATAGTATTTCACTATTTATTTGAGGAAAGTTTGTAAAGTGAATAGTGTTGAATAAATAGCGGTTTTTGTTCTCTTCCAGAAATAGTGTGGGTTATTTTGGTTTAGTTTTAAAAAATAGTGTGTAATTTTATTGTAGTTCTATAAATAGTTTGAGTTATTTTGGTTCAGTTTCAGAAATAGTGTGGGTTATTTTAGTTTAATTTTGAGAAATAGTGTGTAATTTTGTTATAGTTCCAGAAATAGTGTGAATTATATTGGTTCAGTTTTAGAAGTATGGGTTATTTTGCTGTAATTCCAAAAATAGTGTGAGTTATTTTGACACACCCCGACCCGAAATGTCCACTAGGACCCCGAATCGAGCTGTGCTGGTCGACACCTGGAAGGTGACGAAGCCATAAAGTGTGATAATGTATAAAATATGAATAAATTAAAATCTAAAAATTTCTAAGTACACGAGTACGTGGTGAGCGGGTCTGGACCCATTTCACGCGTGATACAGAGTATAAGTAAAGTACAGTAAGGTAAGATAATGACTATACCATCAAAAGAAGCCACCTACACTGGGAAGTGCCACGAATCCTCGTCGATACGGAACTCTGCTGCTAGAACCTAGGGGGTACAAAAAACAGAAAATGTGAGTGAGTGAAACAAAACTCTTCAAACCAATTCCAACTACCAAAGATATAGTAGCCCCACGCCGCAATACCTGTTTAATTTCCCGGAAAATAACAGGCGTGATTATAAACCAAAACCATAACCAAAATGATAGTCTTACGGTTATGCTATGTCAAATATCTTAACAGGAATGAGTAACCCAGGTGAAATAAACCAATAGGAAATGGCATATTAGCCGGATCCACCCATCATGTATGGTTGAATCAATATTTCATCCCATATATGCTAGCATCTCATCACATATCTCATCATAAATATATACTAGCATCTCATATCATATATCACCACATTTATGCTAGCATTTCATCACATATCTCATCATAAATATATGCTAGCATTTCATCACATATCTCATCATAAATATATGCTAGCATCTCATCATATATATCACCACATTTATGCTAGCATTTCATCACACATCTCATCATAAATATATGCTAGCATTTCATCATATATCACCACATTTATGCTAGCATTTCATCACATATCTCATCATAAACATATGCTAGCATTTCATCACATATCTCATCATAAATATATGCTAGCATCTCATCATATATCACCACATTTATGCTAGCATTTCATCACATATCTCAATAAACATATGCTAGCATTTCATCACATATCTCATCATAAATATATGCTAGCATCTCTCATCATATATCATCACATTTATGCTAGCATTTCATCACATATCTCATCATATATCTCATCAATCATGGCTAGCATATAAGTCAGAGTCACCTTTAGTGACCTGTACGACATATCATGGCTAGCATATAAGTCGGAGTCACCTTTAGTGACATGTACGACATATTCATATCTCATCACATATCTCATCAATCATGGCTAGCATATAAGTCGGAGTCACCTTTAGTGACCTGTATGACATATTCATATCTCATCACATATCTCATCAATCCTACCACATTATATACTCACCTGAACTTACCTTAGCCTCCGCATTGGTGTGCAACACTGTGCAAGGTTGTACTAAATCACATACTAAAATGTAGACTAATTATGGCATGGCATTTATAAACATAAAACCACAATTTCTCATTTCCTCGTACATTGATTTATAACCAACATTTATTCACCCAAAACATGGCCTTAAATCTCACGTTTTCACCAGATTCCTTCACATTGCTCATTTTCCCAAACAAAGCTTTTGTCTCGATTATTTAATCTCACTTATTGTGTGGCTACATCTAACGTCTCGTTAGACTGCCTACGTACCCTAAACAGAGATCAAGTCATTCGTAGTTCACATTAGTACTTCAAAACATTGACAGTAATTATATGAAATATTCAATTTATAAACGTATGAGGAGATGTCAATCTATATATATATATACACACACTATAGAAAAGAAAAGACCTACTCACCTTAGGTATGTACTATGACTCCCTCGCACGAATATCGAGACATCACGAACTATCGTCGCATGTGGCCAAGTATCAAATCACATCATAGAGTTCTTACCAATAGAATACATAATTTACATAAAACATATCCTCAAGGAACTTCAAGAATAATTTGAGACCCATTGACCAAGAGTCAACCGT